TGTAAAACATATCATTTTCTTTGTGGTTAGTTGATCCATGTCAATTCCTTTAACGATACCTATAAGACCAGCTGTCAGGATTGAGGTTCCTTGAGGGAGCTGCCATGTACGCGTACGTTCTTTCGCCTGAATGTGGCAGTAACATCCGTCGTCAGTAATGTGTCCTTTTGTTATTACTATTTCATATCCTTCACTAATGTAATATTGCCAGTCTCTATTAATTGGTGTGGTTGTGTCTCCTTCTGCTATTTCCTCTATTTGTGGAGAGTTAATTTCCCAGTCATAATTATCATTTGGCGCAATATGGGTGTCGATTATTAGGCTCTCAGACTCCAGTTGTTTATGAATTTTAATGAGCGCATTGATAGTTCTTGTTTGGCTCCATTCATACTTATCAAGAATTTCTGGTGCTGATATGCTCTGTCGGAGATAGTGATGTCTTTTACTAAGAATTTTGGCGCCATACTTCAAATTTGTCTCCAAAAAACGTAGTTGAAGCGGTGGGCATTTTGCTATTATATTGAGCGCTTCTATTGGTGATGTTCTGTAAGCACCTGTTATTAACAACAAGGCCTGGTTCCAGATCATTTGGATTTTGTTTGTGTGCGTTTTTGCTGCGCTACCATACACAACACTGCCATATTCAATTCGACTTCGAACAAGAGAGTTTAGAATTTTACGTAATGAGTCTCTATCCGATCCCCAAGTAAAGTTGCAAAGAGCTCTAATCTTGTTGATGGTAAGTTTGCACTTAGCTACTACATTTTCTATATGGGCCCTCCATGTTAGTTTTTTATCGAATAGCAAGCCCAAAAATTTTTGTTCTTCGACATTTGGTATCTTTTGGCCATTTAGGATCAGTGTTGGCTCGTTATGAGGTTTCCTGAGTCTACAAAAGTGCATACACGTCTTTTTAGATGAAAAAGTCAACCCTCTTTTTTGTGCTTCACACACTACGCGATTTACATCATTTTGCATTATGTTTTGCATATCCAGGATATTTGTCCCGGTTACCGCTATTGCTAAATCATCTACATACAGCATGGCTTTACTATTTGGGTGTATGTCATCAGCTATACCGTTAATAGCAATGGCAAATAGAGTGGTACTTAATACAGAACCCTGAGGTATCCCATTTTTTTGCTCATACAGTTGGGAGTATACGTTTCCAATACGAACTTGGAAATACCGGTTTTCCAAAAAGCTCTGAATAAGTTTAGGCAGCCTCCCTTTGATGTTCCACATATTTAGGGTTTTAAGTACGTGATATCTCCAAACCGTATCGAACGCCTTCTGTATGTCAAAGAATACAGTAATGGTATGCTGGGTTTTTGTAAATGCTTCTTTTATAATCTTATCTAGGTAAAGTAGATGATCTACTGTAGCGTAGCCTTTTCGAAAACCGGCTTGGTATGTACTGATTTTATTTATTATTATTATTATTATTATTATTGATTCAGGCCGTCTGAATTTTTTATTACGAGCAGGGACCCGATTGTCCCGGGTTCGTTTTGACATTTGGTTTCTTGAGGGCACCGGCGAGCATCCCTCAGGTTTTTGTTTATTGATTCGACTTTTTCATTGGGTTTATCTTTAATTGTTGAACGCGAAGGCAGTTATTCCGGCTCTGGCTTCTTGGCTTTTAAGGGTAGATGAGGGTGAGGAAATGGTGTGATGGAGATGAGATGGTGCGTTGTGTTCGGGAGAACAGACTTGTCCGTGAACGGGTTAAGGGTCTCTCCTACTCAGTTCAGCGAGACCCCCCGAGCTCGGCTAAGTTGTTTTGGGTTGCTGGTCGTTGATCAGGTCAAATATTGAGGGGTGTTTGTATTTGTATATATGGTGTGTAGAATTCAGGATTTTTAGAAGGGGGTTTCTGTCGAGACTGTCCTTGATCTTCTGGGTTCTTATTGCGAGTAATTGGTTAATTGTTTTGATCTTGTATTTTTGGAACAGAACTTCGTTTGTGATGGGCTGTGCGTTGGAGTAGAGTTGGTTTGTGGCGATTCTTATAGTTTTATTTCGCACTTGTTCGAGTCGCAGATATTCGTTTTCGCTGTCGTGTTCCAGGCCGCACCGGCATACGTTATGGCGGGTGTGAGGTACGTGTTTATGATTTGCAGTTTCTGCTTAGTTGAGAGAGGCGAGCTTTCGTTTATGTATCTGTATAGCAGCTGTTTGATCTTTCTAGCTTTGGCAAGAGTTTTGTTTACATGCTTGTTAAAGAGTAGCTTGTTATCGAATTCGACTCCTAAGTACTTCACAGACGATTGGGGCCTGATGTTTTGCCCGTTGAACTTGATGGTGAGCGTTTCGTTTCGGCGTGTTTTTGCTCCAGGCTTGAAGATGATTGTTTCGGTTTTGGATTCGTTTATGCGTATTTTCCACCTTTTTGCGTACCTCGCGATTTGCTCGAGATGTTTTTCGGTGTTTGTTGCAGCTACTTTCGGCCTGTAGTTTGCCCCTAGCAGCGCGGTATCGTCGGCGTATAGGGCCATGTCCGTAGTTGGGCTCCTCGGCATGTCGTTCGTGTATAAGTTGTAAAGGAGGGCCGACAGGGTGCTGCCCTGGGGCACACCGGCGGCAATTTGCTTTTCTGAGGAATACACGTTCCCGACTTTGATTCTGAAGGATCTGTTTGCTAGGAAGGATTTGATTATCGCAATGAGGTAGGGTGGGTAGCCGTACTGCACCAGCTTAGTGACGAGTCCTTGATGCCATACGGTATCGAACGCTTTTTCCATGTCCAGTAGCGTCATTATCACTTGGCGCCCCTCGTCTAAGTTTTTCCTCAGTATCCCCCTTACGCGGCAGAGTTGTAGTTCCGTGTGGTGCAGTTTCTTAGTTGAGAACTGCTCGTTTTTGACTATGGAATTTGCCTCGGTAAATTCTTGAAGACGTTTGTATATGATCCTCTCGGTGATCTTGCTGAGCGTGTTCAGGAGAGATATCAGTCGGTACGACGTGGCGATTTTCCCATCCTTGCCGGGCTTTTTTATCGGAATGAGCACGCTCCTTCTCCAGCATCTCGGGAAGTACTGTAGTTTTAGGACGGCGTTGCAAATGTAGTAAATCTGGAGCAGCACTTTCCTTGGCGCCGTCTTAATTATTGAGTTCGCGAGGCCGTCTTCGCCTGGGGCCGACCTATTTTTCAGGCTTCTGATGACTGCTATCACTTCTTTCGGGGAGGTCAGGGCCGCGACGGGGGTGATCCCTACCGGGCAATTGGCGTACACTCTGTTGGCGTAAAATTCGTGAGCCGGTTCCGCCACTTTGCAGGTAAGAAGGTGTGTTTGTGTTTGTTCGTATTGCTCGGCAATTATCTCCGCTTTACTTCTGTCGTCGTAGTATGTTCTCCCTCCACGTTTTAGTGCTTGTACTTGGGCGCCTTCCTTGTCCCTTTTTGCCCGCCGGATGAGCTTCCAGATATTTCCGTTTTTGGAGCCGTCTTCCGCGACATTCCTCCTCCAAGTCTCCGAGGCGCGTCTGGTTGTGAGATCAAGGAGCTCGTCCTTGAGTCGTTTCCACTCCTCGTAGTCGACATTTGTGCGGGTGGTGTTGGACGTCGGCGTGAGGACTGCCGGTCCCATTACGTAGAGTGTGTTTAGGGACGAACAGGGCTACCGTCTCCTGGTACCGGGCCGTCAGGTCTCCTATGATTCTTTCCAACTTCTCCGTCGTTTCGATTTCGGTGGCGATTTTGAATTTGTTTAGGTGTTTGTTGAACTCGCTCCAGTTCGTAGCACTGTAGTTGAGGAAAGGCGCACTATCGGCTAGTAGGTCGGTTTTGAGCTCAAGGATTAGTTCGATCGGAAGGTGATCTGAGATGGTGTATTGCAGGGCGCTAATTCTTGCCACGTACATGTTTTTTGTGATTGCAAGGTCGATTATGGAGTTTTGGGGTGAAGACCATCTGGTGGATTCACCCGGGCGGAAGATTTGATTCCCGGTGGCGTCCAGCCAGCTTGCCAAGGCATATCCATTTTGATTGTTCGCCGTCGATCCCCAGCTCGTGTGGTTGGCGTTGAAATCGCCGAAGATCGCGGCCTTGGGATGGCGAGTGACCTCTGTTAGATCTTCGTGCTTGAGTTGCTGGCTCCGGCAGTAGCACGCGGTGAGCACGGCACCGCTGATCCTGATGGAGATTGCTTCGGTGGATTCTGTTTCGACGTCTACCTCTTCGTATGGCACGTCCTTCCTTACGTATACCGCAATACCGCCGGCGCCATTTGTCGTAGCGTTTTTGTTTATGATGTTGTAGTTGGCGATGCGTGGGGGTTGGCCTTTTTTAAGTTTTGTTTCTAGGAGCGCAGCGACGTGGGGGTTCTGTGTTTCGATGAATGTTCGAACGGAGGTGGTCTTCTTGCTTATTCCTTGCACATTATAGGAAATAATTTTTATTGTTCTGGTAGTTGTGGTTTTATTATCCATGCTGTTGGATACTGGATGCTGTACGTCATTTATTAGGTTCAGAATTTCAGTTCGCGACTTGGTTTTCAGTTGTTCCTGTACGAAGTCCAGTTGCTGGCTGAAGAGTTGGTTTTTGATATTGAGCAGTTCGTTAACCTGTTTGGCAGGGTCGGGATTGGTTTTTGCCGTTGTTTGGGCGTAGGATTTGCCCGATTGTGAATAGTTACTGTTGAATGAACGTGGCTCTTTTGTGTTCGTCTGTGGTGGTTCTTTTTTGCTCTCGTATTTGGTTCTCACGGGGCACATTCTGTAGTTCGCCGGGTGGTCTCCTTTGCAGTTGCAGCACTTGGCCGTCGTGGCGCTGGATTTCTGGAGTGTGCAATCTCTTGTTAGGTGCTGGTCAAGGCACTTCACGCACCTTGGGGCCAGGTTGCAGTTCCGTTGTCCGTGACCGAAGGCCTGGCATCGGTAGCACTGGAGTACCTTAGACGTGCGCACGAACGCCTGCCACTTTACTTTGACGTGGTCTATGGCGTCTACCTTCCTGACGGCGTTCAGATTTGTCGATTTGTTAACTTTTATCAGGTATGAGTACGCTTCTTCCGGGCTCTTACCTTTTAGGGCTTTACATTCTAATGCGTCCACACCGGCGGATCTTAGTTCGTCTTTGATTTCATTTGTGTCGAGGTTGGGGGCGGCCTTTAATACTATATTTTTGTTAATCTCTTCTCGCGGGGTGTACGTGAAGAATTGTACCTGTCCTTCCTCGAGGAAGTTTTTAATGCTGGCAAAATCTTGTAGGTTTTGAGTGAAAATTTTTGTGTACCTGTTTTGGTGGGATAGGGTAAAGTTTTGGCACCCTGTATTATTTTTGATTTTCCTTATTAGGGAGGTGTACGATTCATCAAGTGTCTCCGTCTTGATGCAGATAGGTGGCATTTTATTGGAGGTGTTTTGGGTGGTTTTACTTTGGGGTTTTAGACAGATATTGGTTATACTATTTTTATTTGGGGGACCGGGACTAGGTAGCCGTGTTTGCGGCGCGAGGTCTACTACCATTTCGTCGTCGGCGTTTGTGGCGAGAGCGTTGTAACGGTTTGCGGTGGGAAGAGGCGGGAATTCCTGAGGACTTTCGGGCTTTTTACATTTCCGTTTTCGGGTGTCATTATTTTCGGCAAGGGAGGATTCCACTGTTCTGTTTAGGGTGTCTATTACCTCTGCCTGCTTAGCGCAAGTTTTCATTAACTGGTCAATTTTTAAGGTGTAGTCGTTTAGTCGCGCGATCGCGGTGTTATGGCGTTTGATAATTAATTTTATTGTTGGGTGCGTCTCGACAAAGTTATGCGCTTCTATCATCTGTTGTGCAGTGAGATCGGATAGGTCTGGCTGGTCTTCATCTGGTGGCACGGGAGCCATCGCTACGCTCATAGGAGGTGGCCCAAGGGCCACCTCTTTTGGGTTGTGGTCGGTAAAGGTTGATATGTGGACGGCAGTTGGTTTAACACTTTGGGATGCACAGGACGGAACGGAAGGAAATGGTGCAAAAACTTACTGTTTGTCGTATCTGATATTAAATCTTGGCGAAAGCGATTGGCTCGGATAGCGGGTTTGGATAGGTTCTTCGTACACAAGGAACGGAAGGAACAATGGAACGTGAGCACAGTACTGACTATGACGTGTTGTCTGCATGAACGACGTTCGACGACTGACGGGTGCTCTCTGGTACTTTACAAACACATTTTATAGGACACACAACAAGGTGGGAGATGTAGAAGGGATTGTAAATAAAGGATGGGGACGACAACAGGCGACATCTAACGAGGGGATTTTACAACACATAGTACAGGATGTTTCACAAATAAAATTCCTACGTTATCCATTTGATGTTTTCTTACAAAGTTACGGCATCTTTGGCTACTAAGCCTGGGACGGCGAAAGTATCTTTTAAAAAGGGGGTCATGCATAAATGTTGTTTGCATATCAAAACATAACGTTTTTGGCTAACACCTGAAATAGTCAAATTAGGGTGAGGGTGTGTGTGAGAGGGTGAGGGTGTGTGCGTGTGAGGGTGTGCGTGTGTGTGTGTGCGTATATATATATATATATATAGATTTCAACCTTTGTGTAAGTATTTTTGTTGTTTGTATCGTTTTCTATTTCTTCGTTGTCTTTTAGGATCCGAGCGTTATTTCACCTTCCACCAATTTAATTAAGCATACCAAATAATAATAATAATAATAATAATAATATTTATTGTGCAGAAAGCTATACACAAAAGATATAGTCTCTACGTTTAAGGCCCACACCATCCCGTTAGTAGCCTTTTCGTAATAGTTGTACCTTGTAATTTTGGGTCTTTGTTTTAGGGCCTTGTATTTTTAGTTTATTTCTTATCTATACCTGTTATACGTATCTACTACCATTGAATAATAAATCTGAATAGAAAGATAACGCAATGTTTTTTGAAGGGTCCACTTTAACGGAGTTTCTCCGTAGGTTGCCCTTTGGGACAAACTCCGCTTATTAACCTTTCAAAGACACAACTTTTTTTTTTAATACAAGTTTAATTTTTTTTCTGGTAACTGTGGCTTTGTTACATTGTTGCATATACCTAATAGATTGTGAAGTATACTTAATGCTGATGTCGATTTGATTCTCACTGAAAAATTCTTCTAAAGCGCTCCACACCGGCATCTGTGGTACCCTTCTTCTGCATTGGTTTATTCTGGAGGCGGGGTGTGGGGGCATGCGCTGTGGCGTTAGTACCCTGCGCAAGCGGCCAGTTCAGTAGTGCTTGTGAGCAGCTGGGGTGTGGTTCGCTGTCCTCTTGCAAACATAAGTGTGCCCAAAGTTCTTCTGTGGACATGTCGAAAAAGCGTATACTTGATCTTGATCTATGCACTGCAGTGGTTGGCGGAGGTGGATCACGAATCTATGGAAAACGACGTTTATTCGGATACGTCTGAGGTTGAAGATAACTGCGAGATTGATGAGGAAAGCGATTCGGAGGATTTGGGAAAGGTAAGTTTTTTTTATCTATTTGAGCATGGAACTTACCTATGCGGTCTTCTAGATCGATTTTGAAAGCGAATTTGGTGAAAACCATGACGATGAGCCCGACATTCAATTCGTTTCAAAAGGTGGCACAAAATGGTCCTTGTGGACCTTGCCGTCGTTTCACTCAAAATATAGTCACGACCAAATCAGGGCTGCCTGCTAAATCAGAAATTGTTTCAAGCATTGCTGACAGTTTCAAACTATTTTTTCTACAATCGATATCCAAAGTAGGCATTTGCGCTCGTATTTGACAACGCAAACGTCATCTTTTTCGAGGAATGTCACTTTGTCGCTTATAAGCGACAAAATAGAAAAAACGCTCGCTCTCACAATTATTAACTATAAATCAAATATGCATTGCTCAGAGTAACCAATGACAACGAGTAAATGACATCTTTCATTTGGGCATAAGATTAAAATGATTGAGTGAAAATTTTTAATTTTTGGAAATATGTGAACTGCTCGATTGTAGAAAAAATCTTGTGTGTAATTCGAGCGCAAATTGATTGTCGATTTCAAGAGATTGTCGCGCTCCTTCGTCGCGCGTCAACTGTCTCTTTCAATCGACAATATATCATTTTGCGCTCTTAATACACAAATAGCTATATACTCTGACGAAATTGTTGACATTTTAATTCAAAGTCAAGATCTAATAACTGCAACGTATGATAGTTTTCTGTATGTCGAAGGAAAATTAGAGCGGAAAGCGGAGGATCATGTTAAACAATGTCATCTAACAAACAATTTTTTCTATTTCGGTGTCACAATGATGATTTTGTACAACTGTTTTCGGCCGAAAACAGTTGTACAAAGACAGTGATTATAGTCGTTTTTTTTTGGTAACTCATCTCTTAAGTTGGCAGTTACTAGTTAGTACAAGTAGGTACTTCGTTGGGTACTTCCACGTTTGAACTTCAAAATGTCAGTCTTACTACGCTGCCAACCTAAAACTTAACGGCATAAAAAGTGTCACCAACATAAAACATGTTAGTTCTAATGTTCCCTATAGTTTCTGATAATGATTTTTTTAATTAAATTAAAGCACCGAAATAGAAAAAATAGTATGAAAAACGCGTGTTACAATGCTTTATTGTAATACTCCTATCTTGCGGACACTCGTGGCTACGCTTCGCGTCGCCACTCGTGCCACAAGATAGTCGTATTACAATAGGTCGCATTGTAACACTTGTCTTTCAATATACTATTGTAGGCTTTCTGTTTGAGGAGATTCGCTATGAATTAGGCGGCCAAAGAGTTGATGTTTACCGAAATCCTGGAATTACATCAGCATTAAAGGGATACGTTTCGTATACAACTACAGAAAGTAAGGCACTTATTTGGGTTGGTCGCCAAAAAATGAAGAACCTTTACAAGTTGAATACATAAAAACAGATGATAATGTATTCGAAATACTTTGCGGTGTGCATACCGCTTAAACACATATTTGGAATGATGGAAGATTGTCATCAAGTTATTGTGAACATGAAACAGAAGTTAATTCTGATTCGATCAAGAAGCGACGCCGATTGTTATCAATCCGAAGCAGATGCAACAATAAAGTTGAGCAAAATCCAATGGAAAGTGCCGATGTGAGGAAACGAAATTAAGGGTGAGGAAATAATCCGCCAAACCAGTAAATAAGATTTCCCCCAGATATTTCCACTTAATTTCGCCCCTCCTAATCGTCTTCCCCACCAGATCTCCAAGATATATATACCTGTGTCAGTCCAGTGTTTGTAACTTTTGCTTCTACCTTTACCGGTGCCTTTTCCTAGTAACCAGCTTTATTTACCTGTCATTTATTACTATATAATTTGTACCCTTAACCCGTGCCATTACCTGTAAAACCTTTGTTAACCTGCACCCCTGTCGTTCCCTGTGTTGAGTGTATTGCCGTTAGCCCTAGGGGGTAAATCGTAATTAGCCTTTGAGGTGAGTGAGTGTTTAGTATCAGTAAAACAACAATCTTTCAACCCTTTATTACAACGTGCAAGCCGTTACCTCTATTACTCTTACCGGTTCCAATTCACCGAGTAATTCCAGTTCCTAGGTGTACTCCCTAGCGAACGGGTTAGGTTACTCCAACCAGTATTCCCCCAGTTACCAGCTACTCTCCGTACGTTCCTACCTGTCCGTGACTTCGAAACAAAATCGGAGCGTGCCTCCTGGTTTTAAACGAAGTACACCTCCGTAGTATATTCCCGTCGCCCCGTCCTGCCTAAACCGGGGGCCCTTGCTCCCGTCTACGTTAACCATAAGGGGCTGAAAGCCTTCACGTGAAAGTTTAGTTGTTTCAGTTCTAACACTCACCCCGTCGGTTCTGTTGGTTACCCCGTTCGGGTGGCGCAGCCCTCAATCCGTATCTGTTTGTCTTTCCCCGTATCAATTAATCTGTTAAATTCTAGCCAGCACTGCACGTGGAAATTATTAAACTACCGTCAGACACGAAACGGCCTTGACAGCGAACCAGCTGAGACGCTGGGGCCCACTCACCGCCGACAGAGGGCAGTACGCTCCCGGGTAAATACGAGGACGGATCCGGAAATATTTTGTATTATTTTATTTTTGTATATAGTTATAATTTGTTTAGCCAATACACGTTTAATTTTCATTGCTCGCCATTATTTCCCGACGCTACCCGAGGCTGTGGGCAAAAGCCGGATCAGACCCAGAGTTGCTCACACCTCATTTAACCTCACCATTTCCGCCAGTACTGCTAAGGTCTGCAAAAGTTTATACCTATAAACTTAACATGACGTTAGAAAAATCAGTTGCTTCGCGTCATTCAACATTAAAATGTGGGGAAATAATAATAAACGTGCAAAATTGTCTCTTAAGAAGACACCTGCGCAACCGAGAAGTATGTTGGAGCAGTTGCTCTTACAACCAACCACCAGTGCACAACCGGGTACGTCGTCTACAGGGGCGCGACAGAATACCCAGATGGTTCCTGCCCAAACACCAGTTATATTCATAGCGGACAGTGACGTGGAGGATGAGTTTTCTCGTCTATTTGAAAGGTAAGTTTTCATTAATTTGTACCTTTTTTTTATTTAGTAAATTCGTTATAAAACAAACTATTTCATACCATTTTCTTATTTTTTTAAGCGTTACGCCGGCAACCATACCGTCCACTACGCCGCTCCAGGCTCCGCTGCCGCCTCCACCACACTATGGTGGAAAAAACCTAAATTTAATTAGGACGGAGGAGGAAGCAATGTTCAGTCCGGAAAGTCAGGACATCCTCCCTCCGAATACACAGAAGAAGCAGAGGGACCAACAGCCACAACAGCACCAGGCATCGTACACACAACAGCAGCAGCAACAACAACACTCGGTGCACTTAGAGCAGCAGCAGCAACGTCAGCTGCCTCCAAGTAACTTCGAGGAGTTTCGAAACAACAGTGTGGAGTGGTTGCGGGCTTTGTTGGGTAGACATGAGGGCGGCTCTGGAGCGGGAATTGGAACAATTGGAGGTGGCGCGGAATAACATACGCAAAACGTCAAACGCGTTGCGGGTTTTGGAGTACCTTTTTTTTGTAAGTTAGTTATTATACATTTTAGCAGATTTTGTTTCTTTTTCTTTTTGTATAAATAAATAATTAGTTGTACTTGTGTGTTATTTCCCATATATCGATCAATTCATGATCATTTCTCTTTTTAGGACAGCTTCTACTTTAGATTCGGAAAAAACTAAATATAGAACAGCTTAATTATTAGTACAAGTCACAATTTAGTCATTACTTTAATTCGTAATTTTTTATCATTTCAAAGTGGAACTCCAATTATCTTAGTAGGTCTACGATGTCATTGAAAGTTTAATTGTGGAGGCTTTTTAAATTAAAAAAAAATAAAACCAAAATTACTTACGAGTCTTTAAAAAAATGGTATGAACTTCAAATTACTTTAAACGTCCATTTCAAAAAAAAAATCCAAAACGTGTACTTCATTGAAACCTATTTCAAAAAAATATAATAGTAAGAAATTCAAAATTACAACTTAAACTTTAATTAAAAATTCGGAATTATCCTACCATTAAACGTTAATTAATAATCCAAAACACTAAACCTAAACATGTTTCTCCAAAAAAAAAAGTTACAGAAAATCTAAAAGTGCAGTAATAATAATTTATTTTATTTTTTTTTGTATATAGGGTGACAATTTGAAAACTTACCACCCCCCATATCTTAGTAAATAAACGAGATATTTAAAAAGTCAAAATCCGTTTCGGTAATTCGGAGGGGGAATCACAATGACATAGTTGGCGACGCACCCCCTCCAACCCCCTGCGCCCTAGCCACCCCAACTTTTAAATCTTAAATAGTGACCCCCCATGTGTGATACGTCGTTGGAAAGCTCTGAAAAAATGCTTTCCAACCATACCAAATAGCATTACATTTGGGTTAGTAATTATCGTGCAAATCAAAAAATAAACATGGAAAATCGTATTTAACTTGAACTTCCAAAGCCGACTCGACAGCAACTCATTTTTGATCGCCAGTTATAATCTATTCTCAAACTCTTGTCGAACCTTTTCAAATGTTGGTTTTGCAATATTTCGACATTCTTGAATTATTGTCTGTCTTAGTTCGTCTATGTTCGCCGGTTGCGTTTTAAATACGACAGATTTCAAATGTATCATATTAGTTTATTTTTTGATTTGCACGATAATTACTAACCTAAATGTAATGCTATTTGGTATGGTTGGAAAGCATTTTTTCAGAGCTTTCCAACGACGTATCACACATGGGGGGTCACTATTTAAGATTTAAAAGTTGGGGTGGCTGGGGCGCAGGGGGTTGGAGGGGGTGCGTCGCCAACTATGTCATTGTGATTCCCCCTCCGAATTACCGAAACGGATTTTGATTTTTTTAAATATCTCGTTTATTTAATAAGATATGGTGGGATATGGGTGGTAAGTTTTCAAATTGTCACCCTGTATGTGTATATGGTTACAATAACTTTGCAAAAGAAAAATAAAATAATGGTACCCACAAAAGCAGAGCTTGTGCGTGGGGGTTCAAGCATGGTATACACCGAATTGAAACAAAACAGAAAAAAAACAAAAAAAAAATAAAATAAAATAAAAAATAAACATGGACCAAATGTAAAAATAAAGACTGACTGATGCTCAACCTTTACCCTATATCATATCAATAACAACGCTTATAAAATTCTTTCCTATTTAAAATAAATTTTTTGACACTATTTTTGAAACTATTGAGGGAAGTTTTTTTTTTATATCCTCAGGCAAAATGTTAAAAAATCTAGAAAATAAATAAGAAATAGATTTTTGACCAATCCTTTTTCTGGCTGCACATGTTACTATATTACTCCGGTGACTTAATCTAGTGAAATGCGGATGGCAGATAAAGTTTGCTAAGTGTTTTTCACGGAATTATTTCATTACTATTTTATAAAAAAAAAGTTGTTTGATGTCGTATACACCCGCCTCTTCGTATAACAAACTAGAAGAATACAAGCGACTCTTTTTATAGATTATTTTAAGAAACCTTTTTTGTAAGACTTATAACTTGTAGAGTAACGTTCGGTAAGCGCTACCCCATACGACAATTCCGTACGAGATTCGCGACTGAACTAATCCATAATAAATGGTTTTCATTTCCAGTTCACCTAAAAAATTGGATAAGTATTTAAATTTATATAGTAACGGCCGTAAATTGTTCAACACGTGATTAACATGGGTATTCCACTTTAAGTTCGAGTCTACTGCTATTCCCAAATACGTGGTGCTAGTCGCAACCCGAATGTTTATCATACTGCCATGATTATTAATTTGAATGCTGTCAAATGTTGGTAACGATTTAGCATTGCAGGAAAATGGGATTATCACAGTTTTGTCATAATTTATGGTTAATAATTTATGATGAAAACTATCAATAATTTTATTAAAATCATGTTTTACGCAGTTTTCAAGATAGGTCCAAGAAGAGTGATTGTACAACACAACTGTATCATCAGCAAAACTAAATACTTTACCACTAGTGTGAATGTCAAGTATGTTATTAATATAGATATTAAAAAGAATTGGTCCCAGCACAGTGCCTTGAGGAACCCCATATTGCACTACCTCTGTGTTACTCAAACTGTTACCTATTTTGACAATCTGTCGTCTGTTCGCAAGATAAGACTGCATGAGATTAAATGCGACACCCCTAAACCCTAAAACCGACAATATATTGAGCACCTGAGAGTGACAGACCGTATCGAAAGCTTTGGCTAGATCCAGAAAAATACCAAGCGCATAGTTACCTTCATCAAGTACTTTGTGTACGTCATTCATTACAGCACACATTGCATCCTCAGTAGATACTCCTTCACGGAATCCAAATTGATTATTTGATAAAATGTTATGTTTTCCAAGGTAACTCTCAATTCTTATTATTTGATTAATTTTTCCAGTATTTTGCCAATGTTAGATAGCAAGGATATAGGCCGATAATTACAGGGGTTTGTTTTGTCGCCCTTTTTGTGTAGGGGTATAATTACTGCACTTTTAAGTTTCTCGGGGAAAACGCCCTGCTCAAATACCTTATTAAATATGTAAGTTAACGGCTTGGATATTTCGTGTTTAATTTCCTGTAAAGTTTTTACTTGAATTGAGTCTATTCCCGGGGCTTTTTTTCTATTAAATGAGTTTATTAGTCGTAATACTTCTTGTTCATCAGTTGGGAAAAAAAATATAGAATTATCTACGTACTTATTAATCGGAGGCGTAGTAGGAAGTAAATGAATTTTGTCTGCCAAGTTTTTTCCTGCATTTGCAAAATACTGATTCATATGGTTGGCCAGATCCATTTCATTTTCAATAATGGCATTATTAGGCAATTTTAATTTAGTGATACAGGACTTGTCTTCTCCACTTCGTTTATTACTACTATTACTAATTGAGTGAACGACTTTCCACAGACCTGTATTCGAATTTTTATTTTGGTTAACTTCGCGCTTATAATAATTCGCTTTTGTTACTTTAAGTAGTACGTTTAGTTGGTTTCTATAGGTTACAAATTCATGTCTATAATCCAAATTCTCAACATTGCTTTTCATTCTTTTATAAAGTACGTCACGGTTATTAATACATTTAACTAAACCCTTAGTTATCCAATCTGTACGTTTTTGTTTCTTACGAGGGATTTTTACTGTAGCGCTATGTTCTTTAATTTTGGCTGATAACGAATGTATGAAGCGGTTAAAGCAATCATTAGCATCATTTATGTCGTCGAGTGGTAACCACGAATCATTATTCAAATCGCGTTTTAAATTCTTATAATTTATTACCTGAAAAAATACATTTTTGCGGTTATCAGTGAATTTCGAACTGGCAACAAATTTTTCATGCATTTTCAGATTAATTATAGTTGCATAATGATCCGTAATTCCAATTTTTAACACGTATGTTCTAAAAGATTCATAATTAAGTAATCTAGGTTGTTTAATAAATATATGGTCAAGACATGAACTTGTTATCTTAGATTTTCTGGTGGGTATATTGATGGTTGACGTATAATTATGTTCACTCATTATGTCCAAGTAGTTCAAAACATTAATTTCATCGCTCAAGATATCTATGTTGAAGTCCCCTACCAGCAAGTAAAAATCCGCTTTTTGTTTAATATCATTTAGGTATTTATTAAATTCGATTAGAAACAGTTCCGATGAGGTAGATGGGGGTCTGTACATTGCAATAAGCACCAAAGTTTTACCTAAAATCTCAATGGAAATTTGCAGAATACGATGCACATGGACACTTACACAAGTATATGAAAAGTTTAGGGTATTTCTTAAGTAAACTCCATCATTTTTGTTGATTTGCCCTTGGTTATAAATTTCGTTGTATCCTTCTAGCTTAACCAAGTTAATGTCAGGTATTTGCCAAGTTTCGCTAAGTACTAAACAATCAAACGGAGCATGTAACTGGTTAAGGTAAACTTGCAATTCATCTAGATTTTTTGAAATACTTCTTATATTTAAATGAAATAATTGAAAATTAAAGTTATCATTTATATTTTGATTACAGTGGTGTTTATAATCATCAATAGTTTCAACAGATATAGTAGTGTGAGGATTCGAATTTTGGTCGAAATTTAGCTGAATCACATCCATAACAGAAAGCAAAGAAAAAAACGATATAGGTACAGGAAATGCTGAGCAACTTAAAGAAAGGAACAAAATTAAAAAAAAATTCTTTATGTAGGTGGCTAAATAAAGAGTAGTTTTCCTACCCACCCAATTATTAAGGCTGACATTCTTTTTACATTTAAGGAATAACATCCTACCAAGACAAAAAGACACACACAAAAATTGACAAATAAATATTAGTTTGTAACACGTTTACAAGAAAACGATCAAGTTCAATTCATTTCACCAAGATAAGGCGCGCACACACGTAAGATAATTTTTATTAACGAATAGGTACCCAAACAATTAAGCGCATCACATAATTACTTACACAATCCACCCGTGATGTTATAATCGCCCACTATACGAATTTT